GGCTTCAAAGACTTCACCCAATTCTTACTCAGCTTGTTTCAAAGTGTAAGCACACAACGCAGACAATCCCCTCCATGCAACAAATCAAATGCCTTGTTGATCTCATCAAGTGTCAATTTATGTGTTATGTACTCATCAATCTTGATTTCCTGCACCAATACCAATTAATTAATAGCTAGTAACAAACTACATGTCTAATTAATTAATTATTACCTTGTTCATATATTTATCAACAAGCTGAGGCACTTGTGTGCGGCTCTTAAACCCACCAAAAGCTGTACCCTTCCAGACACGACCAGTAACCAACTGAAACGGGCGGGTGGATATCTCTTGACCTGATGCTGCAACCCCAACAATCACTGATGTCCCCCATCCCTATTTTTTTATATTAATTTGTACCAAAATTAATTAATTAGATATATAATAAAAGAAATCTTGAAATACCGTTTGATTAATATTTAATATAATTACCTTGTGACAGCACTCCAAGGCAGCCCTCATTATGGAAACATTGCCGATACACTCAAAACTGTAATCAACACCTCCATCTGTCATGTCAACAAGAACCTGTTGTATCGGCTTCTCATGGTCTTTTGGGTTCACAAATTCAGTCACACCAAAGTTTTTTGCTGCAATTTGTGATGATTTGATATTAGAAAAGAGGAGAGAATTTATCTTTTCTTATACAAGAAATTAAGGGAAATGATAATGATTAATGCATGCCTCTATCGAACTTTCTGTTGTCGATATCTACACCAATTATTCGCGAAGCACCAGCTGCTTTTGCACCCTCTGCCACCTGTCAAGATTTTTGTGGATTCATATGTTATAAACCATGTCAAAGTTAATAGTAGATGAATAATCATCTTGTTATATGTATATTAGATACTTACTGCAAGACCAACGGTTCCAAGACCAAAAATAGCAACATTTGAACCAGATTCAACTTTGGCTGTGTTCCAAACTGCACCAAGACCTGAAGGCAAGGAGAGAGAGATTGATTAAGAGGAAAGCAAAACTGCTAAACCAACAATGGGAGAAACTAATTGGTGTTAGATGAAGTAATTAAGGGAAAGTTACCAGTGGGGACACCACAACCAAGAAGGCAGACTTTCTCTAGAGGAGCCTGGGGATCAATCTTTGCAACACTAACATCATGTACAACTGTGTATTGACTAAAAGTAGAGGTTCCCATGAAATGATATATTGGGGTTCCCCTGACTGAAAAACGACTCTTACGATCATTCATCATGACACCAACTCCAGTGGCTCCTCTAATCTTCCCACATAGGTTGGTCTTTCCTGATTTGCAGAACTTGCATTCCCTACATTCAGCCTGATAACAAGGTATCACATGGTCTCCAGGTTTAACTTCAGTCACCCCTTCACCAACACTCTCCACAATCCTGCCATTTTAATTAACATCAGAGAGTAATATCGGTTTTAGTCCTTTGAAAGGTTAAAGAGAGCAACAAATCTGTAGTTCGTTAAATGTAGATACATACCCGGCGGCTTCATGACCAAGAATACATGGGAAAAGACCCTCAGGATCCTGCGGGGAAGAGATTAAATCAATCTATCATGTAACAGATATTTGTGTAGACAATAACTTTATTATTCCCAACTTGAGTATCAACTGATCCAACTGAGTTATGAAATCCAACTCTAGGGAGTGCCTCAACTCCCTAAACTCACTTTCCGCAAAGAGAATTACTTTCTGATACAACACTAACATCTGATCCAGTATTAGCATAATCAATGGACTTTGAATAACAACATTTGGACATGTTGTCTCCGAGTATGCTATTATCATCAAAACCTTGTGTTCGATAAAGCTGTAAGTGCATCTAGCTTTCGTAAACTAGTGAACAATGATGACAACAATACTATACCTTGCCACTCCAAGTGTAAGCATCGGTATGGCAAAGCGCAGTGAAGAGAATCTGAACTCGAACTTCACCAGCTTGAGGCGGCGCAACCTCCACATCTTCGATCACTAACGGCTTATTAGCCTCATACGCCACCGCAGCTAGATCAAAATATATAATCAGGTCAAAGTTAGGGTTTGACTCCATTTCAAATATAGGTTAAAGATGCGAATCAGATCAAACTAGTTGATTAAGGAATACACATAGTACCTTTGCAGGTGATTACTTTGCCTTGAGTAGCCATCGCCGATCAGTGCACAACCAGTTGATGTTGAATTGGAGAGGGAGAGAGATAGAAGGGTATAGAATGTGAGGCGGCAAACTCAGTACCAAACCCCACTATATCGCACTCGGTGAATCCTCTGGATCTGGATCCGAAATCGGACCCGAATAATTGATACTGCATAGTTGGGACTTTTTTAATAAAACGTTCAATTCCTAAAAGGTAATTACCAACTAATTGTGTTTTGGAATTTATCTAAGTACTTACCAACTAATTGGGTTTTGGAATTGTTTTTTAAAAGAATTTATTGATTTATTGGTTTTGTTAAAAAACGACAAATAAAAAAATGTTTGGTAACTTTAAAAACACTTCTCAAAATAAATTTTCAATACATTTATAAAAAAATATCCACAAAATGAAAAAAAAAAAAAAAAAAAAAAAAAAAAAAAAAAAAAAACACTTGTTAAAAAAAATCAATACATTTAGAAAAAATCAATATTAATAGCTCATCAAATTCACTATATAACTCGGTTAAAATCCTAAACCTATTAGGTGAATCGAGGTTACCAAAGTTGTTGGTTATGGTTTCGGGTTTGTCGGTTCACCTTGGTGATCCTGATCTACAGGAGGGGATTGAGAACAAACCTTCTATATGTGATAACTCTCAACAACATGTTGAACATGTATGTCGGGTTCAGATCCTTCTTTATTCTTGAGGTTTGGTTGGTAATTTTTAAGCACAAAAGTGCCACCGATAATAACACTTAATTTTTATTGAAGTTTCCTAAAACCACACTCGTTCTCATTTGAAATATATATCTACTTGTGCGGGTTATGATAATGTATGGATCGAGTAGCCTATAGGCTTTGCTACCCACCTCAATCCTAAGGTACGTTTATTTTTTACTTCTTTTTTTAAGCTCGTGTTGATGTTCTTTTATGATTATTGCATAAGCAATGCAACCAAAGACCCTTATGTGTTTGAGATCAAGATTTTTCCAAACCAAGTTTCTTTTGATGTTATATTGCTTAATGTCTTGGTTGTCACTCGGTTAAGTACATAGACAATATGGTGTAACACTTCTCACCATAAAAACATATGGTGTTTTCATGCTTTTCAAAATACATTTCGCTATCTCTACAATGGTATTGATGGCCCAAACAACATAATTGCCTCTAGAAAACATCTTACCTAATAAATAAATAACTTTTTGATACATGTCATATTCTCCTTTATTTGGATGCATGATATTTTCTAGAATTTTTTAAAATTTTTATTTTCCACTTATTATTTTATTGTATTTTTCATTTTATTAAATTAAAATTCCACATTTAATATGAAAGATAATATATATGTAAAATATTTATTAGAAAATGTTTATATATGTTATGTATTCAATACACTAAAACCTCATTAATTTTAATAATTCATACTTTATCTCATTTTTCTTGTAAATTCAAACTTTTCAAATTATTAAAATTTCATGTTTAATTTTTTTTAAATAAACACATGTAATACATTGATCTCACACCTAATTGAAATAATTTGTCTTTGATCTTCTTCTATGTTTCAGTTTCTTGTGATTGAGGTTGCATTTTTGTCATAAACTTGGCTCCAACACGTAAGGAGCAAAACTACTTTAACATTTGGGAACAAGGAAAAATCGAGAAACATATGAATAAAAGAAAGAAAGAAAAACATAGGAGCAACTACAAACTCATTGGACAAGTTTTTATTGAAATGCAAGGAAATTTAGAATTTAAATAAAAAATAAAATAATAATAATAAATAAATAAATAAATAAGAAGAAGAAGAAGTTAATCTTGTGTTTATACAAGTTGATCAAATTTATACCAGAAGAAATAGAAATAATGTTACTCTAAAAGCAAACAAGTGACAGGCTTAAATAAAGGAAGTTTCAACAAACAAGAGGCTTCCCATTTTATTGGGATTTGGGAGGTTCGTGGCAAGAGAATCATCAGAAAGTGATTCCGTTTTGGTCAAATAGATAATTTAATTGGCAATTGTTAATATCTCCCTTGTGGTCACATTGGAATGATTTAATTTCATACTTAAATTGATTTTTACAACCAAAAGCTACAATAACCATTTTCTAGCAGTTAGATGACTTGTTTTTGTTTATAATTACTTGATGATATGAGTTCAACAATCAGTTAAATACCAGCAACAAAATTGATGATCACTAAATAAAGTAAAAATACTTATACCCTTATTTTAACAATTACTTCCTTAACAACATGTTTGTGCAATACTTTAATATCATTTCCTTGAATTTAATCACATTTGCCAACCTGTTGTTGCATTTTGATGACCCAACATTTTTATATATTATAATAATAACAATCTCCTTGTATTTCGTAACTTACTGAGCAACATTCAATGTTACATATTGAAAGATCATATGATATAAATTATTTAAAAGACCACTCACATTCAAAATCCTATTTTAAGATGCATGGCACATCACTAAGGTCAAGAAGACTGACTATAGTATACACATTCTTCTCAATAGTTTTTGTGCATCAAAATTACAAGAAAACATAACGAACCACGACAAGTAAGATGAACCTCTATTCCATTTCAACACCATTTTTCCTCTTCAGTTCACTGCTAAGCAAAAGGCAAAAGGGCATTGTCGGAAAACACACATGATACATACACCCATTATACATATCAAAAGTCAAAGATGATACCTGTGTCAAGGAAAGCAGGATCAGGGGAGAACTCATTCAACCCAAATGATCCAGGAATCTCCATAGAACTTGGTTCACAAGGTCCGATATCATAACCCCAATTATCATACCGATAATCAACCAACTCCCCGGAATCAATGCTTGCCGGGGGTTGCAGTTTGGGCGGCAGGTAGGTGGTTCGCCTGGCTTTCCGGCCAATTGATGCCATGGAAAAACTTCGGATCGACTGTTGACCTTTGACCATGATTATGATTTCCTTGTTGGGATGCTTCTTCACATGGAACTGCGTAACTTGGCAGAGACGATTGCAGTTGCGGTTGCGGTTGGAATGGAATCGGGATCGGGATCGGGGTTTCGACATAGGAATCGGAATTCACTTGCGGTTGGGAATCCGGTGAAAGCAATGGCTCCTCGAATAGAAGATAAGAAGGAGGAAATGAAGCGGAACTGTTGACAGAATTTTCAGGCATACGGAAGTCTTGCTGCCTACACAAGTTTCTGTAACTGTCCCTGTCCCTGTCCCTGTGTGAGCTGTAAAAATGGCGGTTACGGTTTCCGGTTGAAGCAGCTCCAGGTGAGACAGTTCGTTTAAATACAGGTCTGTTAAATGTATAATTATGGTATTGGTTGCCTCTATCCCTTGGAATGCTACAACTACTTGTTCTTATCAACTGTTGCGAGACTAAACCCGGTTGATACTTGTTCCTGGATAACAAAAACGGGGCTCGGTTTTGGTTAATCATGTTTGGGGCTCCAAGATTGGGTGATACGGGGCAAACCCGGATCGGATTTGGCCTTTGAACTGGAATGTGGGCCATGGTTGGAGTTTGAACCAGAAGTGGTACTGGTGGTGGTGGGAGCGGGAGTGAGAGTGGAAGTGGAAGTGGAAGTGGAAGTGGAAGTGGAAGTGAGGCGATGTTCATATGGGGGACATCGGTTAATTTATTTATGTTCTTGGAGTTTTGCCTTTCCAGTTTCCAGAATTCGATTTTTTCAGTGGCTTGACAATGGTCGATGGTGCCACTGCCATTGCCCCAATAGAGACATGGAGCAAGTGAGTCACAAACGTAACAGTAGCACTGTAATTTCAAGGAAATAGTATTGATCAAAATCAAAACAAGATTATGCTAATTGCTAATCGTTGAAGTTATTTGTTATGGTTATTAAGAAAGGGGGAGTAATTTGATGATGAAATAACCTGGTCGCAATGACTTTCATTTGGGGTAGACGAGAAAGGGAACTTGATACAGAGGTGTCTTGGATGAGGATAATCTCGGCATGCAACCTTCAAGATGAAAAAGAATGTGCAAAAGTTAAATGATTTTTCATATGATCTGAAATCAAAACCATAATCGATCACAAGTCGTAGAAGTACCAGGATCCTTACATAAATTGCTTCAATGATCCGTAAAATCAGACAAATGTGAAGTAAAAAATATAAACCTGGCCTGTTTCGCTAACAACAAGTAGATCATCTGAATCATCATCCCCATTCTCACTTCGAGCAATTGGATCATCATTCCGGACCTCTTTAGGCTTACCGGGATCATGATCAAGCACCACACACTCATCATCCAACTCAATTAAGGACGACGACTTCGATGTTGGCTTCTTCCTAGGTCTTCTAGACGGTAAAACCTCACTAATTAACACCACTTCATCGGAATCATCACTTCCATCATGGTAACCGGCACCGCAATCGCCTCCATTAACCTCATCAAGCAGTTCTGCTATCCAATTATTATCATCAAAGCCGACAGTAATTACTCTGCCATCATCACCATCCCATCCAGGTTCTTCATCGGAACTTATGTACAGCACAGAGTTCGGATCCATCGTAACTTTTCATCAAATACTCTATCTCATAAATAGGGCAACGAAGAAAAGGGTTGATGAAATGTACATAATAAAAT